CCCTCAGTAACATTCCCTGTTCTCTTAACAAGGGGAAAAACCAGCCCAGGATGTTGTTCAAAGGTTCAAGGACAGATTTTGCCCATGGCCTCTCACACTTAGGGAAGGATCACGCCAGTCCAATGTTGCTACAGAAGATGAAATGGATTTTGTCTCTTTTTTCCACTCTAAATTAGAGCACACAAGAATTTTACAGGGATGAAAACCATGTCTGATCTTGCACAATATAAATCTGTGGGAATATCAATACACACCTGTGAGATTTTGGCACAGGAGCTCTGAGGAGGAGCAAAGCTTAGGACATTTCTCACAGGTCTTTCTCTGTGTTTTTCTACTCTCATTCCTTTTCACATCAAACGACTCTTCCTCATCTTCTTATTCTAATATTAGACAAGCAGAGAATAATTTGCAAATTCCTTGTCAACCCCTGCTCATGAGACTGGATGTGGCACTTAGTGCCATGGTCTAGTAACCACAGTAGGGTTGGACTTGATGATCTTTGAGGTCTTTTCCAACCTGGTTGATCCTATGATTCTATGAACTGCTTCCAATCAATACAACCTCAACAGTGATTGCAAATAACTTTGTAAATTCTCCCTCTCCTCCCAGTTCTCCAACAGGGTCTCTTGCACAGAAATCTCTTAATGGGCAAATAATAAATTTCAAAATCTATCTTCCCAGCAAAATAATACTGATTTTATGCAAAACACTGATAAACAAAAATGAGACATTTATCCAGTTTCAGGGAACAGATGTCTGGCCTATCTGCAATTAATACAACCCACTGCCATGCAATCAAACTGCTTTGAGGGCTGGGAACAAGATTTGAAAGTTCACATGCAAATGTGTCTGAAGAATGACTAAAATTGTATAAAAACATTTCATATTTTTATAGGAGAGTTACTAAAACTATAGGCACTATAAATTTATAAAACTTAATATCAAAATTTGTATGATAACTGGAGAAAAACAAATCACAATTTCTGCCATGAGTTTGGCAGAAATAATTCAGTTTTTCAAACTGGAAGTTAGTTATACATATCATTACACTTTAAAAACAGGTATGACTGAAAATTAGTCAATTAGCTGCAAAAATATTTATCCAGTGCTTCTAACTCCTATAGCAGAGCTTTACAAACATTGGGGATACAAAGAATTTAAAGACAAAGTAGCTCCCAGACTTGAAAATAAGTTTCTAGCCTTGCTGGGCACATGGTGCTAAGGAAGTTATATTTGTGAGCTGGAAGAGTAAGGTTAATGGTTACTGTTTTCTGAAGTACTTCTGCTACGAATGGATGAGTTGTGCACAGGATTTGTGTCACTCACAGAAATATTCTGAATTTTGGTAACAAGGTCTGTGAAACAATCACGAAAGAATCTGATGCTCTGATTATTAGATTAGAAAAAATAACATGTATCTAGGAATAGAGTTAATCATTTCAAAAAAGAGCAAAAATCGAGGTAGTTTTCATTAATTAAAAACCAATTAATGTTTTCTTACTATACAAGATGAGGTTTATCTATTTACAGTTCCTGGCATTTGACCAACAAAATCTCACGAAAAACCTTATGGAGTCCACAGTCTCCTCTGCTGCTGCTGGAAATTAATTTTCCATTATACAGTTATTAAAGCCAATAGAATTCTACATTTAGTCTATTTTATACATAGTGTGATTAAAAGATTAATTGAAAAATCACTACTGAAGATTGGGATTAAACAGCACCTTGAAATGCCACAATAAAATGCTTTTGAAACCAGCTGAGGATTTCACACAGCTCTGAAAGGTTTCAATTATTTATGTGTTTGGCCTGTGCAGCATAAATCCAGACTAATGAGGTACAATTGCTGTGCATGAATCTAAAGCACAAAAAACCTCCTCATTGTCTGGAGGAAGCAGGAACCTCACGGGACTGGGAGGGTGCAGCTTCTCAAGGCACAGGAGATATGCTCTCAGAAACAGTTTATTTTGCTTTTTGCTTAGAGTTCACAGCTCAGGTGAGAGTTGTGCCCTGGTCAGGGGAGCCCAGCCCAGGTTACTCCCCTGAAGTTTGACCAGCAGCTGATTATTAAATAATCAAAGTACAATTAGGGTTGGAAGGCACCTCTGGAGATCATCTAGTCCAACCCTCCTGCCAAGGCAATGTCACCTAGAGCAGGTGACACTGGAACACGCCCAGGTGGGTTTTGAGTATCTCCAGAGGAGGAGACTCCACACCCTCCATGGGTACCTGTTCCAATACTCTACCACCCTCCATGGAAAGAAGTTCTTCCTCATGCTGTGGTAGAGCTTCTTGTGCTTTAGTTTATGGCCATTCCTCCTCATCTGTCCCTGAGCACCACTAAAAGAGTCTGGGACCATCCTCTTGACACCTGCCTTGGAGCCACTTGTATGGATTGATGAGATATCCTCTCAGCCTTCTCTTTTCTAGACTCAACATGCACATCTCCCTCTGTCTCTCCTCATCACAGAGATGCTCCAGACCACTAATCACCTTTGTGGTCTCCCTTGGGCCCTCTCAAGTAGCTCCTTGTCTTTCTTGAAGACAAAGACATCCTCTTGAAACACCAGATCTATCTTGAGGGTACAAACTCCCACCTCTACAGCTAAGGACATAAACTTATGTCCATGTCCACATGAAGTTTTTCATCCCCAGGCTCTACCTTTCTGTATTAACTCTTTTTCCTAAAGATGATTTGTTTGCCAAAGGCCCCAATGTTTCTGAAGTTTCAGAGTCTCACAGACATTCCTTTTCCCTTCTTTCCTACGTCCAGCCAGTCACTCACACATTCCTAATGCATGGATAGTCTTTACCAGTGCCTCTGGAGATAAATAATGGAATGGCTGTGTTTAAAGATGTTATAAATACTAGATCTTTGCATCAAGGACCTTCCTAACCAATGGAGGGTACAATATGGACAGCCCAAGGGTGAAAATGGTTGAGATTCTACAGTTACTTAATTAACTCTGGGCAACCAATATGGTTGAGAAATAGTTTTAAATAAAATGAGCACGATCTGAAGCCTTTGGTGTTGTGGCAAACCAAACTGCTGCAGGGGAGCAACTCCACAACTAACTTGGGCTAAGTTCAGAGTGAGAAATCACAAGTGCTGAAGAAACCTCCCTCCTTCTGGGGGAGGTGCTCTTCACACTGCCCATCCCAGCACCTTTCACTGAATGATTTGGGGCTGAAAACAGCAAAAGCTTTTGTAGCAGTCAGGGCCAGATGGAAAGTGCCATATTGGCAACATCAACTGAGACAGATGGGGAAGAAGGAAAACCTGCCTAAAAGAAAAAATGATAAACCCATCACACAATCACATACAAAAATACTTTAAAAACAATCTTTCTGATCCCTGATCCAAGGAAAATATGCATCCCACTGATTCAACATGGGGCTGAGATCTTGTAGCAACAAAAATGTCCTTGATTTAGAGCAACTGCAATATGGAGTTCAGCACATTGCTGCTGCTGGTAGAAAGGTCTTCCTTTACAGACACCATCCTACCTTGGTTCTTTGCAGTCACATCCAGGATAACATCCTTGATTTCCTAACTGTACCTGAATCTTGAAAAGCATCACCTTATTTTCTCACCTAAAAGCCATTAGAAGTGGAAGGTACTTCGATATGCAAAGAGGTGCTCCAAGAGAACAAAAAGGGTCTGAAAGTCAGGAACAAAGCACTGATGTTTTTCTATAGCAAAATAGTTCAAGTCAACTCAAGAGGAAATGCAAAAACTTCCAAGACTTATAACTTCTTAAGACTGCACTAATGAATTCCATTCTTTCCTGGAATATATTGTTCCACTTGGCGAATCCAACAAATGCAGATTAAATGTTTTAATGCCAGCTGTTTATTTTAACCTCTGACTCTGTTAATCTCTTGTGAATTTGGGGCTGTTCAAAGAAAGTTAATAATGAGATGTTAGATAGTTGATTCGTTACAACTAAACACAATTAAAAATTCTCTTCCTAGAGAGAAATTAACAGAACCTTTAAAAAATGCAGGCAAAAATCTAACCATAATAGTGTTTTCAAGTCAACAAACTCACAGTGTAAAATCTAAGGAGCTGCACTAACATTGACTTATATTGGCTCATTGGGGTTTTTTGACAAAATATCTGATTTTCAGATTCATTTTACCACTTGTTTGGAAACAAGAAATAAACTGACATGGACACTTCATTCAGGTCTTTTGTAATACTCTAGGTGAGAAAGGAATGAGAAAGTGCCATAAGAAATGAGAGACTGGGAAAAGCCTGAATTGGTCTCAGTTCTCCATCTGTGTACATGGTATATTTTCTAGTAAAATCTGGCAAATTATGTGACTTTTGCCTTTCACACTACTCGAAGAAAATCAGCATCCAGCTGCCACGCTCAGGATTCCACTTCCATGCTGCTGTCTTAAGAGTAAGAGCTTTAAATACTTCTCTTGCTATAGGCACAACAGCTGCCTGGGAGAGTGGAGGGGAACAGCAGGTTCCTCTGGAATGAAATCCTGCTTGGCCAGGCAGAAATAAGTCGAACGTATTGGACTTGTTTATCTCTAATCCAGCCTTTACTGCTCATTTACTTCAAAGGCAAATTCTTGACTTCATCATATAACAGAAACTCACTGACCCAAGAACAATGTGAACAAATTTAAATCATATTGGTCTCCTTCTTCTTTTCTTCCTCACAACACTCTCTTCCTTCTTAATTATCATGATTAAGCCTCACCCAGTGCCAAGTCTGCTGAAAACCACAGTGAGTATATGAATTTGTGCTCATATTTCTGCAGTCACATTTAGCAATGAAAACGTAATAGATCTTTTGTTTAAAGGGGAAATTCTTCTTATCACTCATTTGCCTCTGAGCAAGAAAGATGCTCCATTACTGTGACAAATGAAGAACGATCTGTTTCTGAAAAAAAATAAATTCTCTTTAATAAGCTGCATTTTAGGGACAGTAATTCACATCTGCTAAGAAATTCAACTCAAGGGATGAAATGATCCAACTTACCAGAAGCATTGCAGAGGTTCCATTTGGCCGGGATAGCTGGATAGACATTTCAGGGAACATCCTATCAATCCGATTGATCACATCATCGACATATCTACAACGGAACAGCAGCATTAACACACAAACTCCTTCTCACAGACTTGGATTATTGCTCCTTTTTAATCATGTTCATGGGACTTTGCTGAATTAACTTCTCTCTGAAACCTGCATATGCTTCAAACACCCATACAAGCCTAACTCAAAATGCTATTGGTGAGATAAACCAAAGCCTTATCAAGTTGTTTGGGAAATCAATTACTCTACCCTTAAAAACATGCACTCACTTTATTTCTAGTCCAAATCTCTCAGCCTCCAACTCCTGCTATTGTTATTTCTACACTTTCTCCTCCGGGAGGTTGAAGGACACATGATCAAAATTACTCTCCCAGCCTAGGAATTCATAGGATGTCACGTCCTTAACTCTCTCTTTGATAAACTAAACTGATAGAGGTTTTATCAAAGTCTTCAAATTATTCTTAGGGGTGTTTTTCTTTCCCTGAATCTTTCCAATTTATTTCATGCACTGGTGACTCTGAAATTAGCTAGTACATTCCAGAGGTTTCTCTGGAGTGATCAAACACAAAGGTAAACTAACATCCTTCCTGCTGGATATAATCCCTCTGTTTATGCAGGCCAAGGCGAGCCAGAACACACTTGTCTTGTTCCCTGGGATCAAATTAAGAGCTGACAGTCATTAACACTGAAAATGTCCTTTTGGAGACCTTGTTTCCCAGGACACATCACTCCATCCCATGGGCATGCATCACATCCTTCAGCCACTCCTCTGGACTCATTAAAATCCAAATATTAGCTTTAGCAGAGTTTATAGGACAGTCTGTATCACCTCTGCACTGATCTGTCCTCTGGTGCTACTTTTGGTTCTCCTGCAGTACTCAGAGGAAAGGAGGGAACACCACTGCCTTGTTAGCACAGAATCCCAGACTGGTTAGGGTTGGAAGGGACCTTAAAGACCAATCTTGTTCCAACCCTCTGCCATGGGCAGGGATACCTTCTACTCATACATCCACAAACTCTGCAACTTGATCAGATCTATTATTTAATTCACTGATAAAACCGTTTTCATGCTAACCCATGTACTCTGAAAAAAAAACCACTTTGGAAAAATTGGTTGCCCAAGTTCGATTAACAGTACAACAATGAAAATCTAATTATTTCTCTTTAATCTGCTTAAATAAAGGCAAAAAAATGTTGAATTCTTGCTCCTCAATGTAATTCAGTTCTCATGTTAGTGCTAAAACCCCCCTGAACAACAATGAGGTGCTATGCTCCAATTGCTGTTTTGCAAAGGATTAAAAATAATCGGCACAAAGTCAAATAAAATCAGGAAAGCTACACTGGCACAGCTGGAAAAGTCAGCCCACTTTGAAAAGTAACTAAAAAATGAAATGAGTTATGACAATTTTGCACAAAAACCTTAATCCACATTCCTTGTTGTGCACAAGTTCCCCCATTCACGGCAGTGACTCATTAACACTTGCTCCTGATAAGCAAAGCCAAGGCATCCATAAGCCAAGAACTTCCTTAGCACTGTGAAAGAGGAGGTGCATAAGACACAGCTTCAGGATGAGTAATGTACACATCCATGGCACCCACCTACCTCACTGAAACATTCCTCAATCCCAGACTTTTCTTTGTACAGCATCAGTTTATACTGTTTGGTAAAATGCAATCACTCCAGGCTGCACAAATAAATTCATCTCCTGCATGAACAGAGATGACAGTGATACAGGCAAGGAGAGGTTCTGTGGCTCTCAGCGGTTACAGGGACATGTCACAGCCTCACACACCACGAGGCAGATTATTGCAGAGCTTAAGTCTTCCAATTTTCCAAGCTTTGGGCAATAAGAAGTTAAAAGCAAACAAAATATGAAGTCGCATAAAACAAGACACTAACACAGTGCATTAAGGAAGGAAAATTCATAGAATCATAGAATCAACTGGGTTGGAAGAGACCTCAAAGATCATTGAGTCCAACCCTACTGTGGTTACTAGACCATGGCACTAAGTGCCACATCCAGTCTCAGCTTGAAAACCTCCAGGGATGGTGAATCCACCACCTCCCTGGGCAGCACATTCCAATGCCTAAGCACTCTCTCCGTAAAAAATCTCTTCCTAACATCCAACCTAAACCTCTCCTGACAGAGCTTGAGTCTGTGCCCTCTTGTCCTCCAGCAGGAGGACAAGAGGGCACAGACTCAAGCTCTGCTCCTGCTGGTTGCCTGGGAGAAGAGACCAACCCCCACCCCACCTGAACCAAGTCATTTTAAATCATCTGAACAACAGTTGGATTCAGGCATTTAATCTGCTTACATCCTTCTGAAAATCCCAGCAGACATGGACATTCATCCTTTGAAAATGGGATCCAGGCTGGCTGGAGATAATCAATTCTTCAAAGTCTTTCTTAGATATGATTATTTTTTAAATGCAAAACTTGACCGTGTGGCTCAAAACCTGAAAGTCATTTTAAATCATCTGAACAACAGTTGGATTCAGGCATTTAATCTGCTTACATCCTTCTGAAAATCCCAGCAGACATGGACATTCATCCTTTGAAAATGGGATCCAGGCTGGCTGGAGATAATCAATTCTTCAAAGTCTTTCTTAGATATGATTATTTTTTAAATGCAAAACTTGACCGTGTGGCTCAAAACCTGACTCACCCCCAGCCTGTACTACCTGAGCAGGATAAGGCAGAAAGGGAATTCACATTCCCTTTAGATGGAATCACACACAGAGCAAACCAGAAATCTTCTAATCTGTAATAACCAGTGCCTGAGAGCACTTAAAGGTGAGTTACTAAGACTTTTTTTGGCTTAGAAACCTGTTGATTTGGTACCATTTTTCAAGGACCAATTCACAAAAAAGTAACAACCATGTGCTTAAGGAAATGTGATGTTTCACTTTGGCAGCTCTGATAGGACCATCACCAGCCTTTTCCTTCTCCTCTCAGTCAATGGGATGGATGTCAGAGAAAGTCCAAGACCAATGGGACATAGAGCAGTGATGTATATGTCATCATTTTGCCCCTTTGCCTTTGTTCAAGCAGACATCAGCTTTTCCTGAGCACTCACCAGAACAGAAGGATTCTTCAAAGCTGCACATATAATTAGCAAATTAGCCTGACCACGTGGTGGCCTCCAATAGAAAAATGACAAACAACCTAATCTAAGGCAAAATTTATTCCATAGATTTGCCCTTCAGAGAGGACATCTGGCAAAACATCTTGCAAAGGGGATGGATATGATAAATCAGACGCAGCAAAGTAATGCAAAAGTGTAACTGGTGATGACTTCAGAGAAAACTGAGGAACACATGATAAAGACAAGATAAAGTGCACTCCTGAGGCTGTCTGGAAAGAGGGTCAGAGAAAAAGCTGCTGTCTGGAACTTCTTTTGCAGAACTGAAATACGCTAATTTAGTGCCAAAATAAGCAGAGTCACAATTTACACATCTCTGTCCAGTTTTAGCTCAAAAATATGATAGTTCCTATTTATATTACAGAACCTCTTGCCCAGTCTCAGACAAGTGAAGCACTGAGGGATGGAGAAAAGTCTAATTTTACTTTGCCAATGAGCACTTCTGACGTCCTTACCACATCTCAGTTTTCTCCTACATACAAAAGATGCTGGTTGGAAGGAGCATTCACAAACCCAGAGGAAATAACACAAAGCAGGGAAAAGCAAATGGAAAGAGACTGGCTCAGACATTTAGCCTATTTTCATCTTAAGAGCAAGAAATTAATGGGAGTTCTCAGAATTAAAGACAAGCTGAAATGTTATGTCCTGGAACAGGCATTGTTCCCCCTGTGAAGGGTTTGAATAGTGTCTGAACAAACTCCCATCCCCATCACTCCTCTATGATGCAAAGGATGCTCAGATAGGTTTGAAGCCAGACTGCAAAAGATCATACCCAGCAATCTCTATTACAGCTCAGAACTCAAATTCTTTATAGATACAATTTCATATTATTTATTCTTCTAGGTCTCAAAAGATAATACATTAACACCTACTCAATGCAACACCTTAAGTTAGTTTCAATTCTGTTCAAAAAAGTTTCAAGTAACTTCATGAACACCCAAATCCTAATCCAGATCCATATATATCCTAGCCAGAAAAGAACAACAGATCTGACCAACAGGGCTTCCCATCATTAAATCCAAATACTGAAGCAGTTTTGCTAATGTAATTTCACTGGCCAGAGGGAGCATTGTTAAAGGAGTTTTAACAGCAGGTTTGTACTAGCTTCCTTCTCCCATTTTTCCCTCTT